CAAACATTATCCTCAATGGTGAAATATTGAAAGCATTTCCTCTAAAATCAGGAACAAGACAAGGGTGCCCACTCTCACAACTACTATTCAATATAGTTTTAGAGGTCCTAGCCACAGCAATCAGAGAAGAAAAAGAAAGAAAAGGAATCCAGATTGGAAAAGAAGAAGTAAAACTCTCACCACTTGCAGATGACGTGATCCTCTACACTGAAAACTCTAAAGACACCATCAGAAAATTACTAGAGCTAATCAATTAATATAGTACAGTTGCAGGATATAAAATTAATACACAGAAATCCCTTGTATTCCTATACACTAGCAAAGAAAAGAACAGAAAGAGAAATTAAGGAAATAATCCCATTCACCATTACAACAAAAAGAATAAAATACTTAGGAATAAATTTACCTAGAGAAACAAAAGATCTATATATAGAAAATTATAAAACACTGATGAAAAAATCAAAGATGACACAAATAGATGGACAAATATGCCATGTTTGTGGATTGGAATAATCAATATAGTGAAAATGAGTATACTATCCAAAGAAGTCTATAGATTCAACACAATCCCTATCAAGCTACCAATGGTATTTTTCACAGAACTGGAACAAGTAATTTCACAACTTGTATGGTAACAGAAAAAAACACGAATAGCCAAAGCAATCTTGAGAAAGAATGGAACTGGAGGAATCAACCTTCCTCACTTCAGACTATACTACAAAGCTACAGTCATCAAGACAGTATGGTACTGGCACAAAGAAATATAGATCAATCGAACAAAATAGAAAGCACAGAGATAAATCCACGTATCTATGGACACCTAATCTTTGACAAAGGAGGCAAAAATATACAATGGAGAAAAGACAATCTCTTTAATAAGTGGTGCTGGGAGAACTGGTCAACCAAGTGTAAAAGAATGAAACTAAAACACTTTCTAACACCATACACAAAAATAAACTCAAAATGTCTGCATCTCCATTGCTGGCCTGTAAATAAATTCTTAACTATAATTTTTCTATATTCTGCATATATGCATTAGTATATGATATTTATCTTTCTCTTACTGACTTACCTTACTCTGTATAATAGGCTCTAGGTTCATCCACCTCATTAGAACTGGCTCAAATACATTTTTTTTAAATTTTGTTGTTTCCTGTCAAACTGCAACATGAATAAGCCATAGGTATACATATATCCCATCCCTTTTGAACCTCCCTCCCATCTCCCTCTCCCTTCCACCCCTCAAGGTTGATACAGAGCCCCTGTTTGAGTTCCCTGAGCCATACAGCAAATTCCCATTGGCTATCTGTTTTACAGAAATACATCTATTTCTGCTTTATTGACTATGCCAAAGCTTCTGACTGTGTGTATCACAATAAACTGTGGAAAATTCTGAAAGAGATGGACATACCAGACCACCTGACCTACCTCTTGAGAAACCTATATGCAGGTCAGGAAGCAACAGTTACAACTGGACATGGAACAACAGACTGGTTCCAAATAGGAAAAGGAGTACGTCAAGGCTGTATATTGTCACCCTGCTTATTTAACTTATATGCAGAGTACATCATGAGAAACACTGGGCTGGATGAAGCACAAGCTGGAATCAAGATTGCCAGGAGAAGTATCAATAACCTCAGATATGCAGATGACACCACCCTTATGGCAGAAAGTGAAGAGGAACTAAAAAGCCTCTTGATGAAAGTGGAAGAGGAGAGTGAAAAAGCTGGCTTAAAGCTCAACATTCAGAAAACTAAGATCATGGCATCCGTTCCCATCACTTCATGGCAAATAGATGGAGAAACAGTGGAAACAGTGGCAGGCTTTATTTTGGGGGGCTCCAAAATCACTGCAGATGGTGATTGCAGCCATGAAATAAAAAGACACTTACTCCTTGGAAGAAAAGTTATGACCAACCTAGACAACATATTAAAAAGCAGAGACATTACTTTGCCAACAAAGGTCCATCTAGTCAAGGCTATGGCTTTTCCAGTAGTCATGTATGGATGTGAGATTTGGACTATAAAGAAAGCTGAGCACTGAAGAACTGATGCTTTTGAACTATGGTGTTGGAGAAGACTCCTGAGAGTCCCTTGGACTGCAAGGAGATCCAGTCAGTCCATCCTAAAGGAGATCAGTCCTGGGTGTTCACTGGAAGGACTGATGCTGAAGCTGAAACTCCATTACTTTGGCCACCTCATGCGAAGAGTGAGTCATTGGAAAAGACCCTGATGCTGGGAGGGATTGGGGGCAGGAGGAGAAGGGGATGACAGAGGATGAGATGGCTGGATGGCGTCACCAATTTGATAGACATGAGTTTGAGTAAACTCCAGGAGTTGGTGATGGACAGGGAGGCCTGGCATGCTGCAACTCATGGGATCGCAAACAGTCAGACATGACTGAGTGACTGAACTGAACTGATCTATTTTACATATGGTGATGTAAGTTTTCATGTTACTCTTTCCATACAGCTCACCCTCTCCTCCCCTCCCCCTATGTCCATAAGTCTATTCTCTATGTCTGTTTTTCCACTGTGGCCCTGTAAATAAATTCTTCAAAACTATTTTTCTAGATTCCATATATGTGTGTTAGAATACCATATTTATCTTTCTCTTTCTGACTCACTTCACCTTGTATAATAGGTTCTAGGTTCATCCACCTTATCAGAACTGACTCAAATACACTCCTTTTTATGGCTGAGTAATATTCCATTGTGTATATGTACCACAACTTCTTTATCTATTCATCTGTCAATGGACATCTAGGTTGCTTCCATGTTCTGTCTATTGCAAACAGTGCTGCAATGAACAATGGGATACATATGTAATAGACTTATGGAAATGGGGAGAGGAGAGGAGAAGGTGACATGTATGGAGAGAGTAACATGGAAACTTACATTACCATCTGTAAAATAGATAGCCAACGGGAATTTGCTGTATGTCTCAGGAAACTGAAAGAGGGACTCTGTATCAACCTAGGGGGGTGGGATGGAGAGGGAGATAGGAGGGAGGTTCAAAATGGAAGGGGTATATGTATACCTATGGCTGATTCATGTTGAGGTATGACAGAAAACAAAATTCTGTAAAGCAATTATCCTTCAACTAAAAAATAAATTTTAAAAATAAATTAATTAAAAAACAAAGAAAAAAGTTTTGTTAAGAGGATGGCTTCATATATTGTGTGTTTTTTACCACAATAAAAATGCACTAACTTTTTAAAAATAATTAAATAAATAAATAAACTCAAAATGGATTAAATATCTAAATGTAAGACCAGAAACTATAAAACTCTTAGAGGAAAACATAGGCAGAACACTTCTGACATAAATCAAAGCACAATCCTCTATGATCCACCTCCCAGAGTAATGGAAATAAAAACAAAAATAAACCAATGGGATCTAATTAAACTTAAAAGCTTTTTTGCACAATGAAGGAAATTATAAGATGAAAAGGCAGCCTTCAGAATGGGAGAAAATAATAGCAAATGAAACAACTGACAAAGAATTAATCTCCAAAATATACAAGCAGCTCATGCAGCTCAATACTAGAAAAATGAACATCCCAATCAAAAAGTGGGCCAAAGAACTAAGCAGACATTTCTCCAAAGAAGGCATACAGATGCCTAAAAAAAAAAAGACATACAGATGGCTAGTAAATACATGAAAAGATGCTCAACATCACTCATTATCAGAGAAATGCAAATCAAAACCACACTGAGGTACCATCACACTGGTCAGAATGGCTGCCATCAAAAAATTTACAAACAATAAATGCTGGAGAGGGTGTGGAGAAAAGGTAACCCTCTTACACTGTTGGTGGGAATGCAAACTGGTACAGCCACTATGGAGAACAGTGTGGAGATTCCTTTAAAAACTGGAAATAGGACTGCCATATGACCCAGCAGTCCAACTGCTGGGCATACACACCGAAAAAACCAGAATTGAAAGAGACACATGTTCCCCAATGTTCATTGCAGCCCTGTTTACAATAGCTCAGACATGGAAGCAATTTAGATGTCCATTGGCAGATGAAAGGATAAGAAAGTTTTGGTCCATATACACAACGGAATATTACTCAGCTATAAAGAAGAATGCATTTGAGTCAGTTCTAATGAGGCAGATGAAACTGGAGCCTATTATAAAGAGTGAAGTAAGTCAGAAAGAGAAACACCAATACAGTATATTGACGCATAATTGGAATTTAGAAAGATGGTAACGGTGACCCCATATGCAGGGCAGCTTCAAGAGGGACACAGATATAAAGAACATACTTTTGGACTATGGGAGATGGCAAGGGTGGGATGATTTGAGAGCATAGCATTGAAACATGTATATTACCATATGTAAAATGGATGACCAGTGCAAGTTCAGTGCATGAAGCAGGGCACTCCAAGCCAGTGCTGTGGGACAACCCAGAGGGATGGGGTGGGAAGGGAGGAGGGAAGGGGGTTCAGGATGGAAGGGAAGGGGGTTCAGGATGGGGGGACGCATCTGTACATCTGATTGATTCATGTCAATGTATGCGAAAACCACCACAATATTGTAAAGCAATCAAAATTAATTAATTAAAATTAATTAAATTTAAAATCCAATTAATCAGTTAACAAAAAAGAATTTTTTGATGTGGACCATATTTAGTCTTTTTTTCATTTTTCAAGACTTTTTAAAATTTGCTACGATATTGTTTCTGTTTTATGTTTTGGTTTTTTGGCAGCAAGGCATGTGAAATCTTAGCTCTCTGACCAGGGATCGAATCCACATCTCCTGCATTGGAAGGCAAAGTCTTAACCACTGGACCACCAGAGACCTCTCTAAATGTTATTTAAAACCAGTGCTATCCATGGCAAAGGGGAAAGATGGGACCCATGCACCTAATGGGGAGTGGGGACCGTGCTCTGCAAGTCTCCCCCTGCAATGGTGTGGTAGGCATGTGGTTGGAGTCCTGAAGGCACAGATCAACAATCAAAGTACTATATACATCAGTATTACTCCACATCTTTACCTTTGATACACTGTTGTCCATTCTTGCTTTGCAGACATTGCTGAGATCACAAACCATGTCCATCTATGAGTCTCCATTATCTGAGTTGGAAATGAAACAGAGCAGTACCCTATGGTCCTTCTCCCCATGTACTCCACCTGCCTTTTGTCTGTGGAACAACTTTAGCCAAAGAATAAGTTTAGTCAGAGAGGTGAGAAAATACAGAAGCAAAGAAAAACAGTCGAACAGGACAAAACAATAGCAGTTTGTCAGTAAGCAAAGTCAAGGACCTTTAGTTCCTTCTCAAGGGCTACAGATAATATTCTGAGCCATATCCTGTGAACTGTCTTGTAGTTACTGAAACCCCCCGGAGGTGGAAGAAGTTAACTACATGATGACCATCCTGTAGCCATAGCATGTGCATGCTAAGTCCGTTCAGTTGTGTCTGACTCTTTGCGACACTATGGACTGTAGTCTTCCGGGCTCCTCTATCCATGGGATTCTCCAGGCAAGAATATTGGAGTGGTTTGCCACACCCTCCTCCATGGGTTCATAACATAAGCTGCCACAGGTCTGAGAAATGGCCTCGAGGAAATGGGAACAAATGGACCCTGGAACTGAAGATTGCGTACTAAGTCACTTCAGTCATGTCCAACTCTTTGTGACACTATGGACTGTAGTCCACCAGGCTCCTCTGTCCATGGGGATTCTCCAGGCAAGAATACTGGAGTGAGTACCCATTCCTTCTCCAGGGAATCTTCCCCACCCAGGGATCGAATCAGTGTCTTTTATGTCTCCTGCATTGTCAGGTGGGTTCTTTACCACCAGAGTCACCTAGGAAGCCTGGAACTAAAGATTAACTATATTTAAAACAATCAAGATGATGCTGGTCAGACCACTGCATGGCCAATTTCAAGATGACCATCAGAGCTGACTGTGCTGTTTCTGCATGTAGCTTCCTCCCTCCATCTATAAAAGCTCTTGCCCAGTGGTTGTCAGGGGAGGGGGAAGTCAGCCTTTGGACAGACAGATATCCACCCTCCCCCCATTCCCACCTCCCCCACTCACCTATCTCCCCACCTCCCACCTCCCATTGACAGCATCCAAAATAAAGCAAACTTCCCTTTCTACCCACCTGTCCTCTTTATTGGTTTTTGATCAGCGAGCAGCCAGACCCCCCAGTTTTGGTAATAGAAGGACCTTTGGCTCACTCTCACTAAATCTAATCTTCAAGCCTGAGTTTCCTCAGCCACAAGATGGGAACCATACTTTGCCATCAGTGATGTCCTGAGGATCAAGTGCTATTATCTTTATAAAATGCTCAGCACACAGGAGATGCTCAAGGGATTAGTACGCTATATCCTTATTTGGGAGCAGAACATTATGGGGCTTGTTTTAGCATTTCTTCCTATCTGATTGTCTCCCCATCCCCCAACTCTCTTTCCACTTCCTTCCAAGCTTTCTAGACTTTTTCATCATTTCCTTTCATTGTTTTCATTCCCAGAACAGCAAATTTCCTCAGAGATTACATGGGCTTCTCTTTGGAAATCACGTGTACTTAGTCCTGCTGTGAAGCAAGAGGCAGCCCAGGACACCAGGCTTTTCCTTGCTGGGAGCGACGTTCTGCTCTGGTCAACTCAGACACCTTATGTGGAGGCTGACATGGCTTCACATCCACACCTGTGAGAACTTTTCAGAGTGTGAACTCTGTGCAGGCCAGAGGGTGCCTGTAACCTGGAAGTGCTAGAAAGGTCTCTACTCTTTCTCTTTTTATATAAAGTTACTTTGTGACACTATGAACTATAGCCCACCAGGCTCCTCTGTCCCTGGGGATTCTCCAGGCAAGAATACTGGAGTGAGTACCCATTCCCTTCTCCAGGGGATCTTCCCCACCCAGGAATCAAACCAGCATTTTTTATATCTCCTGCATTGTCAGGTAGGTTCTTTTCCACCAGAGTCACCTGGGAAGCCTGGAACTTTTCCAGGCAGTGATTAATTAGTTGAAGATTGGGTGAAGATTTTTGCCAACTTGGGGCAAAGCCATTGACTTCAACTCTCTGGATTATCTATGTAGAATGCAATTTTGCTAGTACTTGAAAAAGCAAAACATACAAAAAAGGCTGGATGTGTTCAATTTTTATTCTTTTTGAAACCACTTGTCTAACTATAGATGAAATATGTACTTATGTGAAAGGTCTAGAGATTTTGAAAGTGTATAAAGACATTTCAAATCACCAAAAAATCCATCCACCTAGAATATACCCACTGTTATCATTTTAGTGTATTTCTTGTTAGGTTTTCATAACTCCCTGACTAGACAAAGAAGAAAGTCTAGTTGTCTCTGCTGTACTGTTGTATAAAGTGGCACAGACTAGCCTAGGAACCACTAGATTTCCAAAGAGCAGAGCTGTGAGCTTCTGCTAGAGCTCTCCTTCCAGTCTGACCTGGCTTGTATTCTTCTCCATCTGATGACAGTGATTGATGTCTGTGCAACAACTTCACTAAAGGAGACAGGTAAGACATGTCAGCTGGAAGCATGGTGGGAAAGGAGTAGTGAGAGAAGCAGGACTATTCATATTGCACAAAGGACTCTGTGCAGCCTCCCACTCAGAGCGTAGCTTTGTTCCTTGTCTAAATGTACTGTGTACACAACAGACCCAATTTATCGTTTTAACTGTTGGCTGCTCAGTGTCTGCCTCTCTCAGGATCCTTGTAAAGTCAGGATTTGTGTATGCGTGAGTAACAGAAAGTGAAAGTGAAAGTCGCTGAGTCGTATCCAACTCTTTGCGACCCCATGGAATAGTCCATGGAATTCTCCAGGCCAGAATACTGGAGTGGGTAGCCGTTCCTGTCTCCAGGGACCTTCCCTATCCAGGGATCGAACCCAGGTCTCCTGCATTACAAGGTAGATTCTTTATCACCTGAGTCACCAGGGAAGCCCAAGAATACTGTAGTGGGTAGCCTTTCCCTTCTCCAGGGGATCTTCCAAACCTAGGAATCGAACTGGGGTCTCCTGCATTGCAGGTGGAGGGAGAAACCTTAGTTGGAAAAAGAAATTAGAGATGGGGAAAATGTACCCTACCCTACCCTCAATCCCCGCTGGAAACTTCATGCCTTTCCTTCCCAACTTGAACGCCATCTTCAGTCCTCCGAGGGACTGTGTTGTTTCTCTGGAGCCTAAGTTCTGACCACAGATGGGAGTCATTAGCCACTGAAAACAATGTAACTGTGTGTCTACTTTCCTAAAAGAAGGGTTCTTGTTAAATCCAGCCAATAGAGGAATGCAGGCGGCAATAGTCATTTTGAAAGAGGCACCAGTTTGCTGGCACTAACCACTGTGATGGTGCTATTGGTGGGGGTGGAAGTGATGATCTTAAGAAAATGATGACTTAAAGCTTACTAGGACTAAGATCCGTGCTCGGCTTTTTTCATCTATCTCACTTAATCTTCTCAAACATCCTCTAAGTACTATTAATACTTCTATCTCCATCTCTACAGATGGATTGATTATTCCAGCATTCATGATCATATTTAAAGTCACAGCTTATTGCTGACATTTTCCTGCTTGTCACACACTGAAACTTACACTTCTCCAGCAGTCACCTTCTTGTTCATAGCCCCACAATGAACCTAGAAATCATTCCAGTAGCCATCTTCATGCTTATTACATTACACTGAACCTTCACCTTATCCTAGTCTTCATTGTCATGTTGGTCATTTCACATTGAATCTTAACCTTATTTCAGTAGGCATCAGCATGCTTTTTGTCTCACACTGAACATTATCCTTACACAAGTGGTCAACATCATGTTTACTGTCTACATTGACCAGTGACTGTATACCAGGAGCCATTGCTCTTCTTGTTAGCTTGTTGTTTAGGACACTGAACTTACACATTTTCCAGCTGGCATCATCATGCTTGTTGTCTTACACTGAACCTTGACTTTATTGCAGTGGGAATCTAGTCTCACACTGCAGTATACTCCTTTGAAGTTGTCATATTCATGCTGCAGACACGACACAAAGATTTTAACTTCTTTAGTTCTTCTGCAGCTGGAAGAAGGATAAGCTTGAAGTCGCATGAAGAAGGGTGGTGTAGTTTCTCTATTTCATGCTTTTGAATTCTCTAGAAGCATCCATTCTGGGTCAGTTTATGTAGGAGTCAGAGAAATGAATAATTGCCTTCTATCAGCATTCATCATCATCTTGTGGCCATATATATGCTAAAATGTAAGCTTACTCCAGTGGTCATCTTCAGGCTTCTTTTTTTTTAATTGAAGCATAGATAATTTACACTGCTATTTTCAAAGGGAGTATGAAGAAGCAAGAAGTTTAAGGGCTATAAAGTGTGGTGTGAAGTACAGAATATTATCCATCCTGCACAGTCTTCTTGTAAGCAGCTCTTTTGCCCCTTTTCTGTCACCCCTCAGAACTTAATTAGAAAAATGAGATCACTGGGTAACATTTAACCTAACTCCTGACTTATGCTCTACTGAATGTACACAATGCCTTCCCTACCTTGGTGAGCCCTTTCCCAGATTATAAGGAGTAAGAATGAAGAATTAAATAGTTGAGGAATGACTGACTTTCTATCCCTAGTATCCCCCTTTGCAAATGTGCAGGCAGACCATGTGGGCAGGATAGCATTCAAAGGAAGAGCATGAATCAGCAGATCTGCACACAACAGAAAAATGACAGAATCCAATGCCCCTACCCTAATGATTAACTGAGATTGTTTCCCCTTTATCCCTTTAAAAATTTTCATGTCCAAGCTGAATCTGGAGTTGATTTTGGAATATGAATCCACCCTCACTCTGGGTAGCTGGTTTCCTGATGAAAGCAACTTTTCCTTTCCAACCAACACTTCTCTCTCGAATATTGACTTTCTGAGCAGTGAGCAGCCAAACCTGAGTTTGATAACATTTCCTTTAGTACTAAGCACTTCAAAATGAAGGCCACATTGAAAGGTGAAGATAGCAGTAGGATTATACTAGAGAGAAGACCATGGACAGACTCATCATCATCATATTGAAAGAAAACCCTCAGTGCAGCAGTAAGTTGTTGTGTACAATCCACACAGACTACTAACATCATTTATTTGTAATAAACTTCTAGGGGAATTCTTCAGTGACTCAGGTGTTATATCTTTTGAATGTAAAGTGGTTCTCTAATATATGAACCAGGTTTCCAGGTACTCCTTGGAGATAAAATATTGTTTTTGTATCATGCTGGGGATTATAATGGATTTCACTCACTCAGAGGAACGATATGTAATATTTTAATACCTGTGAATCCTTAAAAAATGTGAACTTAGGTCATGCTAGACCTCTGAGAAGTCCTGTCTGACAATGCAACCTGGAAAAAGCTAGACAGAGACTAACTTTTACATTACTCTGGTAAGAAAAGAATCTACCAACCCCACCTCAATACCAGTAGTTAAAATTCCAGAATTAGGGGGTTGAGTAAACTGATTATTAATCCTGAAGAAAGACTAGGAGATGAGTTGTCTTCTCATCTGTTCCACATCTGTTACAGAGGACTAGAAAAGAACCAGGAGAATCTGGATTCTCTAGGGTCTTAGGACACTTTGCAAATTTTATTAAATATGTGTCTTTAAAAAAACCTAAATGAACTTTAAAAGTAGAAATAAAGTGAACTTCATTTTCTAATCACAGTGCAAGAAAACCAAAAATTAAGAGGAAAATGGCAATTCTGTACAGTTCTTAGGTCAAAGAGAAATTATAATGAAAACTGTGATAATAACTTTGAATCATCAATAATAACATGGTGATGGTTAATTTGATGTGCAATTTGACTGAACTAAAGGATGCCCAGATTGCTGGTACAACATGATTTCTGGGCATGTCTGAGAGTGTTTTCAGAAAAGATTTGCACTCATTCAGTGAACTGAGTAGCGTTTCACCTTCACTGATATGTGTAGGCATCATCCAATCTGTTGAGGGCCTGAATAGAACAAAAAGGAAGAGGAAAGGCGAATTCCCTCTTCAGCTGGAATGTCCATCTTTTCCTGCCCTTGAACATTGGAGCTCCTGCTTCTCTGGCTTTCAGACTCAGGGACCTACACCTGCAGCTCCCCTTGCCTTGCCTCCCCCCATCTCCATTCTCAGGCTTTTGGCTTTGGACTGAGTTAAACCATTGGCTCCCCTGGTTCTTACATTGTCATACCTGGAATGAATTACACGACCAGCTTTCCTTTTTCATCTGCTTGCAGATGGCAGATTATGGGACATAAGCTTTGTAACTATATGGGTGAATTTCTATAATAAATCTAATTATATATAAAATATATATTATGTATATACAAATTTTATGTATACATTTCCATCTATCCATCCTCCCTATTTCTCTGGAGAATCCTGGCTAATACAAGCATTATATATAAAATGTATGGAATGTGACCAAAGCCATATTTAAAAGAAAATTCATAGCCTTAAAATACTTTTATCATTAAACAACAAATACTTAAGATACAATATGCTGGATATTTATTGCAAGTGTACACTGCGCAGGGCCTGAACAAAATATATTTTATCTTCATAGTACTTAGGAGGTGGGTACCATGTTTTGCCCTTCATAATACTTAGGAGGTAGGTACTATATTTTGCCCTATTTGAAATGCTCAGAAGTATAATTAGGCACATCCATACCATGTTCTAACTATGACATGTTTCTAAGAGTTCTTAGAATTTCACATAATCCTTGATCCGATGCCACAAATATTTATTAGTGCTTATTATACACAGGATACTATGACAAAGAGATGAAGAATAGATGTTCTCTACCCTATAAAATCCAGTCATGTGTGTTCCTGATGTAGATGATACAGCTCCATTTACAATTGCAACTAACTCTACTAGCTAAAATTGATTGCATTAAATGCTAAAACTGATACATAAACCCATGGTTGCAGAGAGTAAAGATTCCAATTGAAGTCGGGGCAGGAGTCCATTGTGGTGCTTGTTGCCACTGCTCAGGGAAGCATCTCTAAGTTCAAACAATTAGTTAATGTGATCAAAGCAGGAAGAGCACATACGTTTTCACTTTATTAAAATATTGCATAGATACAGAGCAGTTGGGCACATCCATTCTAAGGCACTGTCCTGGTTTGAATGCAATTCCACAAGAGAGAAAAGAGAAGCCATTACATTCAGTATTATTTACCTCTACATTCAGACTCCTCCCCTGTTCCATGTTTATTGCTACTGGGATCTCGATTTTATCCCCAAACTTATAGCAGCATCATACTGGGACCTGGATGACAAAAATGAAGGACACATCCTGGCTCTAGTACTTGGTATGAACTGACACTTAACTACAAACTCTCTTGCACTGCTCTCCATTTGTTTCCCAACTCTTGTTTAACTAAAGATATTATAAACTCTTTACGAATTAATTTTTTAATAGTTTCCATTAAGCCTAGAACAGGACTAGTTAGGCACATAGTACATACCCCCACAATGCTTATATTAAATATCAGTTGCAAGAACTTTAATGGAATAGAAAAAAATATACTTTCCCTAATTCTAGTTTAAGGAAAGGATGACTGGTATCTTCACAAAGGAAAATACTTGAATGTCTTATTGCTTGCATTTTTTAACAAGGAACTAGGCTGAATGAATATTTTCATGTATTAACAGCTTTAACTGACAAAGAGAGTTCTTCCTTTGCTATAGGAACTTGAGTCATTACCACTAGTATATGAGAACATTTATATAAGTAGCAATGTGTGTGAGATTATAAGTAAAATTCAAAGAGGTTACAAATCACTGAGCAACACATAAATATCTGAATTACTGACCCTCACCTCCTTAAATGATGTGTTTATGTTACATAAAAAAAATAAGTGTAAAGATTTTTTCATAAAAGCCTTGAAGCAACCGGAAATAGCTAGGCTTGGGAACAATCAGGTTATACAGATAGCTATAGAAATATGTGTTAAAGGCAGTGTGTTCCAAGAATATTTGCAGAATACGAGCTCTGTGGGTTATTATTGGGTATACATGAAAACGGGTCCTGGGGTCAAACAGGATTGCAAAACACTGAGCCAAAAGAGGTACTTTTTTCATCTTCATGAGAGGACCTCTCAGAATTCTCATAGGCTGATGTGCACTGTGAATCTACAAAGCAGAAATAGCAGGAAGGGATTCCCAAACTTACTTGCAAACTATCTTATAGAAATAGGTGTTCTATGACACACACTTAGGGAGACACTGAATTAAAGAATGTGTAAAATTTTAAAGCACTGAGACACACAGTTGAATAGCAAAGGAGAGTGAAAAGCAATGGATACTGGTTCCTCAGTCAGTGTAAATTAAATTAGAGTCTACTTGTATGACTTCCACTGGCAAATGGGTTCTTCCACAAAGAGTTGACTTATCCTGGGAACAAAATAAATCATCAAACCAATACTCAGCTCTGAGCAGCATCACCCCAGACTGCCAACTAAGCAGATTAGTCAACTTTGCAAAATTCAAAAGTAAAGATTAAAATTCTAATTTCTTCAAAAACAAAATTTTCAATGGAAAGAACCCAGTTCATAGCAGGCAAACGAAATTCTCTTCATCCATGTGTTCCTAACACACTTTTATTATTTC